GGGCACCATCAGCTTTCTTCACCACATTTGCTTATGTGCCCGTTTGTCTTCAGCGATTGTGTCGAGAAGGTAATAATCATGGAATGCCAGTTTAATAGAACAAAGTGTTCTTGAATTGAGGGAGTACTTGAGTGGAGGCCCAATGTTCATCTGCCACCTTAATACTAAACCTGTAAGTGTATGCACATAGATCTTTTCCCCCATCATCGTATATAAATATATTTACATATGTACACGCCTGTATTTAGACCTCTATAAATGCCCTTTGCCTCCTAGTTCTTTCCTCTGTTTCCTTTTACTTTCCTCTTCTCCCACTATCATGCTCAGCCTTTATTTGGGTTTCAGTAATTCCTCTTGGTTACATTGCCCTTGATCAAGCCCTAGCAGGCCTCTTACACCTTCCTTGCTACTGATTTTGTCCCTGGGTTGGTTAACACCACTTCCTTTCCCCGACCTCCCCCTCTCCCATGTCCCCCCAGAGCCATCTGTCCGTTGTTTTCGCCTCCAGATTGTTTATCCAGCCTATCTATCTTATCTAGATAGACCTGCAGAGATAATAATGTTCACCAAAAAAAACAAGACAAAGCAACAAAAGAAAACAATGACAACAACAACAACAAAAAATGGCATAAAAAAGAAAAGCCTGTAAATAGTTCAAGGTCTGTTTGTTGACCTTTAGGGGTGTTTTCTGGTCGAGTCTGATGGGGTGCCAAACCCTGGCCCCAAAGTCTATTTTTGGTATTCCCTCGGGACTTCCTTGCTCTGTTCCTCTTGCAGTTCTGTTGCACACCCTTAGTATTTTGCTTCAGTATGGTGGGGTCAGATCAGGCACAATTCCCACACTGTGTCTTCAGTGTTGTCCCCTGTAGGGTTATGTGTCAGTCAGGGATATTGTGTCTCATAGTAGGGCCAGCTCTATGGTCCTCTCTGTGCATTGACTGCTTTGAACAGGAATATCATCCTCAAGGCTTGATCAGACATGTCCCTCTCCCTGAGCTGTAGCTTCAGTGCTATCCTCTGAAGTGAATTATTCTTGCGGGAGGGATGGCTGTCCACTTAGTTGGGATTGGGGCTGGCCCCTCAGATCTCTCTATTTCCTGCTTCATGTCAGAATGTTGCATTCACATCTTGGAGCACTGGTCCCTCTTTCCCTGTGGAGATATAAACAATACCCTCCCCTTGGGTGGGTTAGTGCCCAGAACAGCGGTTCTCAGCCTGTGGGTTGTGACCCCTTTGGGGGTCAAACGACCCTTTCACAGGGGTTGCCTAAGACCATCGGAGAGCACATATTTCCGATGGTCTTAGGAACCGAGATATCGCTCCTCTATCCATCTTCAGACGGGTCCACCCACATGTAGATACGCCCACACACGAGTACCCGGCGTGAAGACTGTTACCCATGCTACACCATGCTTCAAGATAAAATTTCATTGTCATTCAAAATAAATATTTCACAATATATAATTACATATTGTTTTGTGATTAATCACTGTGCTTTAATTATGTTCAATTTGTAACAAGCAAAATACATCCTCTATATCAGATATTTACATGACAATTCATAACAGTAGCAAAATTACAGTTATGAAATAGCAACGAAAATAATTTTATGGTTGGGGGTCACCACAACATGAGGAACTGTATTAAAGGGTTGCGACATTAGGAATGTTTAGAACCACTATTCTAGAAGGTGGTATTCATCTCAGGGTGACTAGAATAATTTTCCACACTCCAAAATATTTTTCTTTGGGTTACAGCTCTTTCTCAAACACTTGTGTATACTTCTATATGATGTCCTTTTATCTGCTAACAGTAGTAGTCTTCAGTTCCTTGAAGACATTGACCATCATAATTCATGGCTGCATTTATCCTTTTATTCAACAAGCTTGTATTGAATGCTTTTTGCCAGTACAAAGACTGGGGCTATATTCAAGGGCCTGTAGGTAGTTTTCTGCAAGAAGGGCCCAAGACTATACAGCAGTGCTTTCACACTCTGCCTCTCTGAAGTCTGAATGCTTCAATAACTTCCCAGTGAATTCTGTTTTCATTAGAAAATAGTTTGCTTACATTTACAACTTAGGTTTTACAGTTACCACACCCAAGGTGGTATTTTAACATGTTTGAGACCACACCACCATATTGCTTGTACTCCTTGGTTAACGTTTTTTGTGTGTGAAGATATTAGAATAAACCTCTGTTCTTGTTATCAGTATCTTCTTGTGTAGTTCCTCCAGTGCATTGAGTGCCTAGGTCAGAGAATCACTGAATGCTATTTCTAGTGAAAGTATTTACTCCTCATAGAATATAATATATTTTATTATATATTATATAATATATATAATTTATATATATAATATATAAAATATATTATATATATAATACTATGGTGGGTTGTTTTCTTTTAAATATCCTAGTAGAGTTAAAAGTTTCTCTACCAAAGTTATATTCGCTACAAATACTATTTAAGAATTAAGAAACTAGCAAGGAACTAACAAAAAAAATGTAATTATCTCAGTCATTGTGGAAGAAGAAACTTTCTCATCACATTATCAAGTGGTTTCAAACAACTATTAGTTACAAAATCAAAAGGCTGGATTCGTTTCTGGCCTTCATTATAAAAATATAACCACCTTTCACACAAGAGTAAGACAGCAAGGCTGCACTCCGGTTCTCTTTCCCACCACCCTCTACCTTTTCATTCTAGGGGTTCTTCAGCAAGCGCCTGAAAGGCTCCATCAAGAGGACCAAAAGCCAATCAAAACTTGACAGGAACACAAGCTTTCGACTTCCTTCCCTTCGCAATGCAGATGACAGGTAGGAAGTTAACTTGCTTAAAACAGGGATGAAAAGGCACAATTTGGTCTTATCTAATTTTGCATCAATAATAATTAGAACATACAAATTTTATGTTTTTATCTTGCTCATGCTAAGCCTAGGTACAAAGACATTGGCTGAAATTTACAACCGGTTTGGGAATCTGATACCAAAGGAGTTTTTGTAGATACCTAGGAACCAGTTTAAGAATCAGTTGTGTTTCTATAGACTCAAATTCTTAGGGTTAGGGTGTACCTTTTCTCTGTAGAGTGATTAGTAAATGATGATAATGGTGAAGAACACAATAACTAACATATTTGACCAGTATATTAGATGGTTCTTATGCGTATTATCTTGTTGACTCTTTACAAAAATCTATAAGTACTATTATTTTTCCCATTTTACAGATGAACAGACTGAGCCACAAAGAGGTTAAATAGTCTTGCTTGAGGTAATATAGCTAATCAGTACCAAAAATGACATTTTTAACTTGGACGTTTTGGCCCCAGAGTCTGTGTTCTTCACTATTCTGTGGTCCCTTATCTATTGTATTTGGAGTGGCTGTTACCTAGAAGTTGCATCTAGAAGACAGACACTGAAAAAGAAGCCTCAGTTTCAATAATTAGTAATCCCACTTCACTAAGGATGATCACCTTCTAAAATAGCCTCTTTCCTAGGGTAATTTTCCAATACTTCATGTCTGGAATGTTCAAATTTAGGAAACATTGCTTTTAGTATTTTAACACGTTATCACCAAATCCAGTGTTTATTGAATGCTTATTGTGTGCCAGGCTTTTTTTTTTTTTTTAAGAGCTTCCAGTAGTTTATCAAAACACTCTGTTATAGTGAAAGGCTGATGAATCCTGAGTGTGAGCTGAATCCATGAGATCAGGGTAATTTTCATACATGTGTGGTATTTTCAATGTAATGTAACAATTCTAGATACTGTCATTATCCTCATTTTACAGATGAGGAATTGAGGCTGAGAGAGCGTGAGAACCTTTCCCACAGTCACAGAGCTAGTAACTAGTAGAACTGGGATTGGAACGCAAACCTGCCACTTATACATGGGGGTTTTAGGGTTTATTTGCTTCTTATATAACTGACATGAATTCCAGCTATCTGCCTAGCAAGCAGAAATAAAAATTATAGATTTGCCAGGCAGAGAATCACTCTCTTTGTTTGGTAGATGAAGAGACGTGTGCCTTCACACATGCTGAGTTGATGAGGGCCTACTGCTTTGTCAGCTCTTCTCATCACTGAACCACATAAGAGGTGTCCTGCAAACTTTTCAAGTCTGTCCACATACAATCAAGTTGAAAGTGTTCATTGTATCTTTTATACCTCTTTGTTTGAAGGTAATCATAAGGAACTGAGTTTTCTTCTCATGCCTTTGCTTAGTTTCCTTTTAGTCTAAAATGTTTTCTATTTCAGGAATTCTAAGCACTCGATAAATAAATATCAATAAAATAGAACAATATTTATTTTTAGAATTTTGGTTTTGAAAAACAAGATTGTTGCCCAATAAGTAAAACATTACCAATTCTTCAACATTGCATCATCACTTGGAAAGTTGGATGACAAGGAGCTCTGTTTCATAGGTGTACTGTATTTTTTTAGCTTTGAACTAAATATCACTTTCTTTACTTCACGCAAAGTTCTCTGTGTTATTTTCCAACTTGCTTTTGGTAGCCCACTGGGGACTTGAATTGAATTACCAAGAGATCATATTCTCTTATATTGCTATTAAATCATTAGTACATGTTTAACCTTTCAAGTGTCCTAAATTCATTTTATGTAGCTGCCATAATGTTTACTTAAATTAATAGCAGGATCTTTCTATCTGAAATATAATAAAAAGGTGCTAGTAAATCTCAGATGTTAGGAAATATCATTTAGAAAAATCTATTTGAATTATAGAGATTCCTGTACAGGAATTTTTCAAGAAACATATTCTTGTATAATGATGTATTCATTAGATTTTGAATGGATTATTACATTATAAAAATGACTCTCCTGACTATCTAGAGTTTTGATAAATACAAATAAGATATTAATAGATGGAGGTCTTTGAATTGGTACCCTTACAGATGTGACCACAGATCCCTGGTTTTCTTGGGTCATGTTGAAGGCAGAGTACTTCTTCCAAAATGATATATAGTTAAGCCTAATTAGCAAGTCATTTCTACTGTTATATTAAATTGACAGAAAATTGATGAACAGATTTTCTCTTTCTAGTTTATATCACACAACCTATGAACCTATGAATAATTGCTTTAAAATTTTGAATACAGAATTATATAGTAAAAAAACTAAAGTCCTTTATCTTTCCCATCTTCCCACATAAGTAATTTTATGAATAGTTTTATGTCCTCTCAAATCTTTTAAAATATACATAAATATATATATATATTCTTTATATAAATATATCGGTGAGCTTTATACATCAGGTACATGCAGATCCACATTATTCTTTTTATATATTAAAATATCTTATTGTGCTTTGAGTAAAAGTTTATATGGCAGACTTTCCAGAGTTGGAGCAAAATTCTCTTCTTTTGTGTTCCTGTTCAAAATAGTAGCCAAGTGCCAACTAGTTCTTCTGGCCTTAGTGTAAATAAGTTCCTGCAGACTATTGGTCCTGTGGACTCATTTCCTCTTCTTAGTCTTTATGTTTCTTCTTTTTCTTTTATTCCAGATGTGTAGAGACCAATAATTAGGTCTTCAGTGACTACTTACAATCTTTTAAGATCCCAGACCCTACTCACCAAGCTAGGATATATAAAAGAAACATTATATACTAGATTATGCCAGTTTACTGAATTGCCCCATGAGCCTATAGTCTTAAGCCTTCAGATCCTGCAAACCACCCCCACAAGGTATGGATACTTAATATATTTACATGTATATGTACCTGCATATAGATATATCTATATAGTCCCACATATGCACATATATACACATACATACCTATACACTTATCTGCATACAAGATACATATATAAACACAGTACTATTTTTAGTCATTGGTTGTTTCACAGTTGTATATGTTACAGCTACATTCTTAATATACTATTCTTTTATGGAACATAATATATTTTACTATTCTGTATTGATAGTTAGGAGCCCCGGTAGCCTAGTGGTTATGTGTTGGGTTGCTGCCCACAAGGATAGCAGCTCAGAGTCATGAGCTGCTCCATGGGAAAAAGATGAAGCTTTCTACTCCCATAAAAATTCAGTGTCTTAAGACCCTACAGGGACATTTTAACTTATCCTGTAGGATCTCTATGAGTCAGAATTGACTTGCAAAGGAAAAATATATATATCGATATTTAGGTTGTATCTTCTTTTGAGTACAAAATAGGATTATAATGACCATCATTGTATCTGTCTGACTAGGTCAGATTTCTGAAGTAGAACTCCTACATTTAGAGAATGTACATTAATTATCAAATTGGCCATTACCAAAAGTTGATTCACTTTTATCCTCAAAACAACTTATTTTCAGCAAGTTGATGGATGAATAGTAGTAAACAACTTAGCACTTTGCATACACTAACTCATTTAATCATCACAAGAATCATGTAGGTTACTTATTGGTAGAAACTCCATTTTAAAAATGAGAAAACTGAGATGGAGAAATTAGTAAACTGTCTCAGGTCATACAGCTTAAGAAATAGCAGAACTGAGGTTCAAACCAGGAAACTTCACTCAGTAGTACACATTCTTAACCTTTATATGCTATCAGATTTGTGTAAGCAAGTGGGGGGGGGGGCAGGGCGGGACAGCATGTCTTTTAATTTGCATGTCCCCAATGCCTAGTCAGTTGAACATTGAACATCTTTTCACATGTTTTCTTCTTCTGTGACCTGCCTCTTCATTTCCTTTCCTATTTTTCACTTTTCTATCGAGTTGTTTGTCCTTTTCTTATTACTTCAACTAGCACATTTTAATGCTAGAAATAATAAGCCAGTATTAGTAAAGTTGTGAAAATATTCTCCCAATCTGTCTCATGTGTCTTAAAGTCAGTCTTCCAATTATATAGAACTTTTACATTTTCATTTGGTCAGATACGCTGATCATTGTCTTTGTAGCTTACCTGCCCACATTTGACCAAAATACTGGACTCAGGGATCTGTTTTTCATTAAATTCCTCATTATGATGATATGCAAATCATTTTACCTCCCCCTCCTTCAGAAAGAAGAAACTTGTTTTCTCTCTCTCTCTGGAGGGTAATGAAATTGTGATAGTAATATTTTAAATTCTTCATAGTTTTTTTATCACCACAAACTTTTTTTGCTCTCAGAAAACTGATAAGATAAAATTATTCTCATGAGGTCTGTATGACAGCTTTAAGATGGCAGAAAAACATTTCTTAAAGAGTTTGAAGATGAAATTGTGGTCAGTATGTTTTGGAGACTTATGGATGGGGTAATATAGGCAGTCAGTTTTCTATGTAAACTACCATGGAGCATTTTAACTTGCAGGTTTGATTTATTGAAAAGACCCCAAGGGCTCCAGGTCTGTCTCATCAGTGATTCACAAGTCACAAATCCTGCTGTGAGGCCCTGAGGGCACCAAATGCTGATGTATGCACCAATTTATAGATAGCCTTAATCTCAAAATTTCCTTTGTGAGGCATAGACACAAGTTCATTTTGCCAAATAATTAGCTTTTCTAAATACCAATATACAGCATTACATTTCATGTGTAGCAGTTCTGTAGAAGCTAGCATACCTTGTGCTGCAAAGGTAACAGTTCCATCCACCCGCAAGGAGTCCAGTAAGAAAGAGATGTACTCTCCAAAGAGGAAATGTATATAAAGTGTAGGGGCCCAGAAGAAGAGGCTATTTCTTGTTGGTGGCTCAGGAAAGAATTTAAAAGGGAATTTTAACTAGCAGGAATAAGTTGAACATGGAAACACACAGGAATGGATTAAATGGATTAATGGATTGCCTTGGAATGGATATAGTCAGCAAAACCAGAGACTGGGAAAAGT